CAGCTTAATAAGTGTTACTATGCAATTCATTATCTCATATATCGATAAGCATTACTAATTAAAATTTTTATGCGGTAGATTATCCGTAGTACAAACTGTCATGCGATCGTAGAATAATTATGTAATATATATTTAGAGTTAAGGTTGGCCTAATTTAGAATTTGGGATCTAAGGAATTATAATTATACAGTACTCTTTATTAGTAGAAACTTTAAATTGTTATAGCTTTTTTAAAACGAGCCAAATAAAAAAACCCTTTGACAAATTGATATTGTTTATTTTAAGAAAGTTATAAGGAGTTAAAGTTTATAATAGTTTAAAAAATTGGTGTTTTAATATAAAAAGATATAGATTTATTTAACCAAACAAAAATCAATTACACCAAAATTAGGAATCAAACCCGATTATGTATACACCAAAAATTGACGCCTTAGTATAGATTTGGGTGTCTTTTACTATCCGGTACTGTTGAAAATTTAAGCAAAATTTTTATTCTTGTTAATTGTTTTATTTAACTATTTACATTTTGTACGTACGTAGAAAAATATTTTTGTATATATTAAATTTTATTTATTTTGACATTTATTACGTAAGTGCATAATCCGAGAAACGAAAATAAATATGTATAAAACGAAAGTTTGTAACGACAATCTGTGTAAAATTATTATTTTTTTTGTAATAAATTACAACGATAAGTTTGGTATAATTTTTGTTTTACGTATCGCACATACGTACTGTACGTACAGTACAGTACACATGTATATCAGATACATATTAAAGATTTGCGAAACACTTGAATATTCCTAAATTAAGTTATTTTAACCGAAACAGTAATTCCAAATTGGGTTCATTTTCAGGTACTTACATACGTTTTAATCTCTTTAAAATTAAATATATTTTTAAACTAGTAGTCGAAAAAAGCAAATTATTAATAAATATCTATTAATTTTTTTTATGATAATAAAACTTTTATTAAACAAGGTTCAAAAAAAAAAGTTTATACGACATTGAATAATTGATTACAGCATATGATTTTCACCAATACTATAATTAACTATCACATGACAAAAGTACTGTATATTAACGTTATACGTAGCGGTAGATTACAAAACAATAAAATTTTCTAACTATATAGAAGTGATATGTAAATCGTATATAAAATAGTAATGATTTATTTTATCCAGCGAAGATGATTGGCAAGAAATCTAAGACCAATTTAATATAAAAAGCGATATGATATGAGATAAAAAAAAATTTTCAAAAAATCAAAATGGGTCACGCATCATCTAAAAAAAATGGAGAATTTAATAAAGAAAATAAGAAAAAATTCGATAAAGATCATAAAAGAATTAATAAAAATTTAACTAAAGAATATGAAAAAAATAAAGATTATTTAACGATCTCTGTAATTGATGTTCATAGATTTATTGAAGGTCGAAGGTTTCATATTTCTAAAGATCTTACTTATACCTTCCCAAGTGATAATCAGGAAGCTTCACGATTTAATGAATCTATTAAACATATGAAGAGATTGTTTAATTCTAATTATTCAGCACCTGTTGAAAAATTATTAACTCATGGAGCTAAAGTTCTTGAAATTGGGTTAGCAAATTTTAATACTTTTTAATTTTAATTTTTTTTTAATTTTTATTTTTTATGTGAGTGATTTGATGAATATCCTTTATTTTATAGGACAGGTGGTGGATTTTGGTTAGCAGACATGTCAAAAACATATCCTATGTCAACATTTTTAGGTATAGATCTCTCTACTATGTTTCATCAAGTAAGAGATCATTCAAAAATATGGCTATAATACATAGTGGAAGAGTTGTGACTAAATAATAACTGATAAAGATTATTTATTTACTTACTTACTTATTTATTTATTTATATTTATTTATTTATTTATTTAGGAATGTTTACCAGAAAATTGCGCATTTCTTGAATATAATTATTTTGACGAAATTCCATTCCCTGAGAATGTAAAAAATATCCCAATAAAAAGTGTTTTATCAGTTATGTTAAATAATTTATTTTAAAAAATTTACAATTCATTAATTATTAGACATTTGATTACGTTTTCCAACAATCAATATCTTCTTCAAAGTTCCGTAACAATCAATTTGACACTCATCTGGTATATTACACAAAACTATATATATTTTTTCTTTTGAAAATATTTATAACAATAAGAATTTATTTCTATTTAATTTATTCCTATTTAAAATTAGAGAGAAATATTTCGAGTAGTCAAGCCTGGAGGCTGGATAGAGGTTAGAATTTTATCTAGATAAAAAATTTTTTTTTTAAAATAATAATAATAATAATAATATTATTATTATTACCGTAATTCCACTAAAAACATATTTATTTCTAGATATTCGGATCTCCTACCGAACTTATTAACGCCGGACCTGCTTCAAAGAAATTTATTAAATCAAGTAATTAATTAATTAATCTTTACTTTTTTTTCTTAATAATATATATACATAAATATTTCACACATGTCGCCTTTAAATAGTACGTAACTGCTTCCAGTTTAATGGACTCGATCCTTATCTTGTGTATACTTATCCTAACAAGTTAAGATCCTTAAATATTAAAAACGTTCAAGTGGCTGAAATGCAATATTACCTTTCAAATCATAATAAATCATTGGAAAATCAGGTAATTTTCACAAGCAAGTAAATTAAATATATTAAATTTTTAACAGCATACAGTAAAACTTAAATTTTTTTTTTTTTTTAATGAAATAAAGGAATCAAGGCTTCTACTTTCAACAGCAGAATCTTTAAGAGTAATGTTAAAGATGGTAGAGGGGTATACAGAAGAAGAATATGATGCAATATTAAGAGACATGGCAATAGAACTGGAAACTTTGAATATGTCTATGAAGTGTATAAGGACTTTTGGGCGAAAAGCGGCAAACTTTACGTGACACAGATTATGTATTAAGTTAATCAGATGACGATGACGGGTTATTAAAATGTAGATAATATAAATTATCCGGCAGCTTACTATGATTGTGCTGCCAAAATAACTCGAGTTATTTGGCAGTGATACGTCATCTGCCAAATAA